TGTTATTTTATTTGTAGAAAAATATAATTTGTGGTAGAAGAGGGAAAGGGGGTTAAATATATGGTGATGGAAGGAGAACTGACTCTGGGTGGTGAACATACAATGTAATATATAGGTGATGTATTATAGAAATGTACATTTGAAACCTATATAATTTTACTAACCAATGTCACCCTAATAAATTTAATAAAGAAAGAAAGAAAAGAAACAACAAAAAATCTAATTTGTGACTAATGACAGTTTTGTGTTTTCCTCTAAAATACTATGCCCTTAATGCATTTTGTCTGCTTACACTGGCTAGGACAGCCAGAAAACATTAAATGGAAATAGTAATAGGAGGCATCCATGTTCCTCTTTTTAAAAATAAGTGTTTCTAAATTTTCCCCATTGAGAGTTGTGTTTGTTGTTTTGTTTTGATTTTGTAAACATCCTTTATCAGGTTAAGGAAGGTTCCTTCTCTTGCTATTTTTTTAAATCTAATAAATGGGTGTAAAATTTTAACAAATGCCTCTTGTGACTCTATTAGGATGACCATTATCTTCTTTAACCTGTTAATGTGGTGAATGATACTTATAGATTTTCATATGTAAAAACAGCTTTGCATTGCTGGAGAACAATGCAACTTAGTCACAGTGTGTGATAATTTTTTACATGTAACTGAATTCAGTTTGTAATATTCTATTCAGAATATGTATGTGTATGTCCATGGCTGAAGCTGGCCTTTAAGTTTCCTCTTTCATACTATTCTTGTTTGATTTTGATTTTCAAGGTTATATTGGTATCCAAAAATGAGTTACAGAGTATGCCCTCCTAGTCTATTCTCTGGAATAGTTTTTGAATGATATACTCCTTGAACATTTGATAGAATTTGCGTGTAAAATTATGCGACTGGTATTTTCTTTGTAGAGAGATTGTAAACCTCTGATTTAATTTTTTTTAATAGTTATGGAACTATCTGAGCTTTCTATTTCCTTTTATGTCAGTAAGTAATAATTTTCTAAGGATTTTCTGTGTAGCAAACAAAGATGAAACCAGGATGAAGATACTTGACTTCTTATCCTGTCTATTACCAGCCATGTAACTAGAATTCTAAATTTACTTTACCTTTATGAGTCTGTCTTTTCATATATGAGTGAGGAAAGTTTGTGTTATATGATATTGCCTTGCACCTAGAAAATAGTTTGCATTTTACAAAGTGCTTTCATAATCATAGTTACTCCAGTATATTCAAGGTCCTTACAGTTCTAAATGCTAGGATTTTGAATGAAATAAATAGCCCATTTCCCATCAAACCAAAAACACTTGATGCTACTATTGGATTGTCAGAAAAGTTATGACACATTTTTATAACAAAAAACAAAAAAATATACATCATGACTTTTCTGACAACCCAATATATCAATATGTATTATGCAATACAGTATGAAAAATCTCAAGACTTAAAAGGTTTATTATTTGGGTATGCCAGCTGAATACTACTTCGTAAAAGGTAGGACAGAATGATATACAAAATGGCAATATACAAATTCATATATTACCAGCTAACAATATATCCTTTCTTTTACAATAGAATTTTCATTTTTATAGGCTTCCATGTATTAGGTCTTTTTAAAAAATACATTTTGGTTTCTATAACTTGGAACTACATGTAAACATGAAAAAATAAACCAAGATGAATTACCCCAATAGTTTGTCTTACAACATCAATACCTGGAAGGCAGTGATGGTATCACAAATCCCTATTCCCTTACTGACCAACCCCAGTCCTCGATACATACTCTTCCTCATTTATACTGCTCATAACATTTAAACTGCCCTGTTATTATTCTTACCCCTCAATTAAATTTTCTCCTATCCAACCCATTCTCCAGCTCTCCTGACCATTCATTGTTTCCTCAACTAAATTTCTATTCATTTCCTCTCCTATTTTGTTCAACACATTGTCTTACTATTTACTGTCATCAGTCTTTAATTTCACTGTCATTTGTTCACCTTACATATCTGTCACCCCTTTAGACTAATTTTAAGGGTAGAACTCTATATTACTTATTTTTTTATCTCCTGTGCCTACCATGGTTTATAGAACTGCTATTTTTTTCCTCTTCAAAAGATCACTAATCAGTTGGAGGTAGCTGATTTTTAAAGATCATAAATCAGTAGTTGTCAACCCCAGCTGTAGATTAGAGTCACCTGAGGAATTTAAAAGACATACCAACATTTTATAGTCCCTTTCTCAGAGTAATTAAATCGGATTCTCAGAGGGTGGGGTACCTGTCCTTTTTTAAAGCTCTCCAAGTGATACAAATGTACAGCCAGGATTGAGATCCACTTATACACATAGGCTCAGCAAACTACAGCCTGCAAATGGCTGGGTTTTTTTTCAAATAAAGTTTTACTGTAACACAATCATAACCTTCATTTACATATCATTTCAGGCTGCTTTCACTCTAGAAAGGCAGGGCTGAGTAGTTGCAACAGAGACCATATTGCCTGCACAGTCTATCAGTCTACACTATTTACCCTCTGGCTCTTTACAGAAATCGCTAGCTGACCCCTGATAAAGAGGGAGTACATCCTATTACTTATCCAAACGTTATGTAATAGAGACTGTTGCTAACACTGATAAGAAGTAAAATTGTTTTAAACACTAAAAGATACATTTTCAATATATTCTCATCAATGATCTTATTTTTAAAAATAATTTTTATATTTGCAATTATTTACTTGAAAGTATAAATAGTCTCTCATATCTTAAAGAGAGTGTTTCCATTATGAAAATCTGGCTGTATAATTCTATATAGCAGAGGTAACATAGTCCTTGATTCATTTTCAGCATTTAGTTTTAGTGGCTGTTTATCTACTGACCACATGCTGTCTATTGTTCTACTTTCCATATGTTTTTTTTTCCTGTTGCTTTGTTCTTTTTTATTATTTATTAAATTTATTGGGGTGACATTGGGTAGTAAAATTATGTAGGTTTCAATTGTGCATTTCTATGATACATTATCTATATAATGCACGGTGCCAGCTCTCCTTCCATCATCATGTTTTTAAGGTTTAGAAGCAGCCATTAGTACCAGACACATTTCTAGATTTGCCCACAGCCATGTAAAAACTGTGATTCAAATTAATTCTCTTTATACCAGAAAATAGTGTATCTAGTAGAAATAACACAACGTTAGGTATCAGGAAAACCAGGTTTTGATTTCCATTATGCCAGTGATTTATTAAGTGGCATCACAAAGTCATTTACCTTATCTGTTACTGACAAAGGATGTCTCAATTTTTACTAAAGCAATTTTATCACTTGGATATGCTTGGTTGTGGAAAATAAGTTATAAATTAGTAGACATAATAATGTAAGTTGTGAATTAGCTTCCTCTTGCCAACTTTTACTATCTTTTTTCAAGTAAGTCCCAACATCAATATCAGTTTAATTTCCTACCTTTCTATAATAAAGAGTAATGAGATCAATGGACAAATTGTACCTAACTATCTAGGTAATGACTTGTTCATCTAGCAAGATGTGAGTTATGTCTACCAAATGCTGAAGATTTTAATAAAGAATCAAATGAGGTTTTCCAAAATAAACATATATTTAAGGAAACAATGAACAAAGACTACGTTATCTGAATATTCTCTAAGCAATTATGCTTAATGGATTAGCTAGAGAATTTAGAATACATAGAAATACACATCCAGTATAAAACTATTATAATCCCAAAACAATACTTAAACTTGTTGAGTGATATATTCTACAATTTTAAAAAATGGAAATGCAAAAAATATCATATCCATGCCTTAAAGCAATCACTTATTAATTCTAATGCTCCCAAAATATTTAGGATGATGCCAAGATGTCACAATTTTTATTTCTTCACTAATTAGGAAGAGCCCTTTCAAGATTGTAGCAATTGATGACATTTGAATATTGGCTATAGGTTAAATAACAGTATTGTATTAATTTTAAATTTCCTTATTTTGATAACTGTACTGTGATTATGTACTAGAATGTTCTTGTTCTCGGAAAATATAGACTGAAATATTACTGAAGTGTTTAGAGGTAAAGGGGTATGCATGATGGATGTCACGCTCAAATGGTTCAGAGGACAAAANGAAGGAGAACTGACTCTGGGTGGTGAGCACACAATGTAACGTATAGATGATGTATTATAGAATTGTATACATGAAACCTATGTAATTTTACTAACTATTGTCACCCCAATAAATTTAATTTTTAAAACAAGCTTACCTTTCTTTTTTGAGCGCTGGACCCTTCCTACAAAAACTAAAAGGCCAGTAACATCACAGATTTCCTTTTCTGGCATATCATCTAGTTCTAATCTAATAAAAAAAAAACAAAATTGTTTAACAGATATTATACCTTTAAACAGTGAAAATGTATCTTATAGTTATCATTGTGAAAATGTACATTTATATATTTACTACAGCAAAATTTTGGGTATATTTTGAGCAGATTATAATATATTATTTCAGTGACTAACAATGAAATTTATTTAAGATATTTTACAAAAAGCTCTTTTACCTTGTGATAAAGCGGTGATTTAATTTTGGCAATTTCCACTCTGGTTTCACCTGTCTTTCTGGAATTATAATTATATTAGTTGGAGGATCTCGAAGGTTCAGGCAGACTTCTGAAAAACAAAAATATATTACTTTAATATTGTATTTAATACACATAAAATAATATACACATATATAAATTATACAGGAAAATAACAGCCTGAATATTTCTGAGCACAACACTAAACCTAAGAACTAGACCATTATCAATAGCTTTGTTTTACCTATTGCTACATTGTCACATTCATTTATTTTCCACCAAAGGTTAACCATACCTTAAATTTTGTGTTTTATCATCTGCTTAATTTTTTTAAAAAAGGTGGGTTTTTTTGTTTGTTTGTTTTTAATCATTTATGTGTTTTTTCCCAAACAAAATACTGTTTGGCTTTCTTTATTTTTGAGCTTTAATGGACAGGGTCATATCATATACAGTATTCTAGGGCTATTTTTTTCACTGAACATTATGGTTCTGAGATTCATCCATGCAGCTATGTGTAGTAGTGGTTTTTTTTCTCATTTCCACTGCTGAATAATGTTCCAGGGTGTTGATACATTTCAATTTTATTTACCCATTATCATGTTGATGGAATCTGGATTATTTCTAGTTTTTGCTATTACAGAGTCACTATGAAGTTTTTGTACATGTCTTCCTGTGTACACAGAGAAGATTTTTCTAAGGTATTATACCCAGGAGGGAAACCTTGGATTGTATAATATGCAAATGTTCAACTTGACAGGATAATTCAAAACTACTTTAAAGTAAAGAATCTATTTATAGTTCTATCAACAATGTGTAAGAATTCCCATTGATCCACCTCTCCAAATTTTGGTATTGTCGAATTTCTTATTTGTCAATCTAGTGACACAAAAATCACAATTTTTTGTGATCTTATCTTACAGTTTCCTTATTACTAATTATGTTGACATTTCATATACTTATGGTTTATTCATGTATCCTCTTCTGTTAAATACTAGTTTGTGTCTTTTGCCCATTTTTTTCTATTGGATTGTTTGTCTTTTTCTTATTTATTCATAGGACTTCTTTTTATATGTTTGATACTAATACTTTGTTGATAGATCACTGCAAATATTTTCACCCAGTTTGTGAACTGTTTTTTTTCATTCTTTTTATGGTGTCTTTTGATGAATAAAAGTTCTCAATTTTACTGTAGTTAGCTTTAGTAATCTTTCTTTATTAGTTACTATTCCCTCTGTCTTATTCAAGAAACCTTTCCCGATCACAAGGTCAAAGAGATACTTTTCTATTAAGTTCTTCTAAATGTTTTACCTTCCACATTTAAGTATTTAATATATCTGGAATTTATTTTTTATATGGTATGATAAGGATATAATATCATTTTTACTTATATATAATCAATTTTTCTAATACTATTTATTGAATGGTTCCTCCTTCCTTGACAATCTGTACAGCACATCTGTCACATATCAAAATTTTATATGTCTAGGGCTACTCCTCGACTCTGTATTATGACTTGCTGGTCAGTTTGTCTGTACCTATACCAATACTGCATTGTCATGAATACTTTATAGTAATTCTTAATATTTGTAGGACAAGTCTTCAATTGTTCTTCAGCCCCCCCCTTTTTTTTCAGACGTATATTGACTATTCTTGATAATTATGTGCTTTCACTTAAATTTAGAGTCAGTTTGTCAGTTCCAGAAAAAAAAAACATCTAACAGAATAGCACTGATCTATAAATCAATTTTGGGGAAATTGATATACCTATAAAATTGAGACTGACCTCCTACATAGGAACATGAGATATTTCTCCATTTATTTAGGGAGTCTTTAAGGTCTTTCAACAAAGTATTATAATCTTCTCCAAACAGGTCTTACATATCTTCTGTTAAATTTACTTCTAGATACCTTATATTATTACTGACAAAGTAAATTATGTTTTTATAATTATAATTTCTAACTCTTCATTATCAGAGTGTACAAAGTCAATTGTACACTCCAATAATGAAGAGTTAGAAATTATTGATCTCATAGCTAGCTTTGTCAATATCTTATTATTTTTAACACTTTGTGTTATTTTATTTGTAGAAAAATATAATTTGTGGTAGAAGAGGGAAAGGGGGTTAAATATATGGTGATGGAAGGAGAACTGACTCTGGGTGGTGA